TCTTTTGTGGCTTTTAAGATATATAAATATAAAATGTATTGTCGATTAGAAAATGTTGATGAAACAGCTGAAGGAATATTACTTAATTTAAAATCTTGTATTTTAAAGTACTCTGAAATTTTACATGCTGTGGGAAATACAAATTATTCCTTATATTTCAAAAAATTATTAAGAAAAATGTAGATGTTTATGTCTTTGACGGGGACCAGCCCTCGGGACGTACGTAAGAAGGGAGGTAAAATTAGAGACTCTGAGATGGTGATAGATTTACCTCCCTTCTATATATCGTAAATATATATTGTTTACATATGTAATGTAAAATACCGATGATTTTCCTGACAGCTATACAGTATTTGTTCGTTTAAAGTTGTATAATTATATTTATTACTTTGTTTGCACATATTATCTAAGTATTCTACGAAATGCTAATTTCAAATCAAGAAAATTCAACATGTACATGTAATTACAATGTTATACTTGTAATGGAGCTTAGTCAGGGCCCCATCCCTGGCAGCTGCTAACGTATTAGTATATATACGAGGGCCGTTCAAAAATTACGCGGACTCTGCTATTATTTATCTTACAGACGTCGTATAGAAGTGAAATTTCACGGGAACAAATTTCTTAAAGATTCCAATAAAATTTTTGGTAAAATTATTTGATTTCATTTAATATCTCATAAAATTATCGGTGTTTTGATACTGCTGATAGTGATGTACGGAACACGGCAAAATTGTTGAAAAACAAACATGCGGTATCCAAAATTTTATTCATTTATTTTCCATATTTCACGATATTTTTCAACAATTTTCTCTAAAATTTCTTTTTATTGTTGGATTATGAAGCATTTAGATTTCTGTCGTAATATTTGAAGTACTAACAGAAATATTGTAATTTTTCTCCGATGTAACCCCTACGAAATCAACTACAAAAATGACGTCTCGTGATTTGACGGAGCAGTGCACTTTTATCAAATCATGAATCATGCTGGGAAAACGCCAACAGAGACCCAAAATAAGTCTGATGAAACATGTAGTAAACCAGCGGGATTTCCGACACATCTCTACACAATGTAAGAAAGAATTTTAGACTGTTAGACCTTAGTAAAAAGGCAATCCGGTAAGGATGGAAGAAGTTCATCGACAAAACACTGATTTGGACTGTTAAGAATGTGATTGGGATCGACTGACGTCAAACTTTACTTCAGAAATATCTGCAGTTTTGGGGTTTAACACAAACTAAAACACATAATACTAGTTGTTTTTTTTTTTTTTTTTTTTTTTTTTTTTTTTTTAGCTTTTAAGCTGGATTAGTAATGGTATATGGATGTTTATTTTGAGTGGATAAGGTACTATACAGTATCAAATACTAAGGGAAAATATTGAGAAGATGAAAACTCCCAGACTTTAAAATGTCCGTGGCGTTGAAGGTTTTACTGCGCTGTGACTTCATGATATGTCCTGTAAAATCACCCGAAATTGATACTAATTTACAATATTTTGATATGAAATTTTGATGACCATACATGAAAAGATTCTTTTATATTATTTGTGACTTTTTGCTTGATTATGTCGTCAAATATATTTTCTGTGCAACAAGTCCGCGCAATTTTTGAACGGCCCTCGTATATATCAAAAATTGTTAATAAGTAGGATCTGGGAAATAAATTTGAAAAAAAAAAAAAAAAAAAAAAAAAAAAAAAAAAAAAACTTTAATCCATTACAGATATTCATAAAAAATAAGGCAAACAATTGAATGTCGAATATATTTTCCGAAAATTCGAATTAAAGCTCCATCTATGCATGCTCTAAGTGAATACGATCAACAAATATGTCTTAGGATGCAAAACTTCAAGTATACAGGCGTCTAGAGATAATTGCCTGTTTTTATATAAACATTGCTATTTTTTTTTTAAATATTTATTTCATTTGTTCTTTATTGCAGGACGTCAAAGATCACCTTTGATACCGTTATGTGCTAATCATTTTAACAATTGTTATCCAAGGCTTTATCATAGGAAATTTGTTTGTCTGAAAACGATTTTATTTTTTATAGTGGTTAAAATTCTATTATTTAACAAGACAATTTTTAAACTTTAAAAAATCTTTAACTATATTGAGAAGAATTTAATAAGTTTCAGGAAATTATTTCAACTTCAATATGAGAAAAAAAAATTAAAAGAGTTATCGTTTCTGTCTGAGGAAAGGATATATCTATTCAAACTGAACGAAAGGAATACATAGGGCGGCCTTATGCACTTACAGAATTAAAATAGTTTTGATTCCTTTTTAAATTTTAAATTAACGTTAGAATAACCGTTTCTAACCCCAAACATACTTTGGAACACAAACAAAAGCAATAGAATCGAAATTTGCTCTAAGCAAAGACACAATATGAGGTAAAATTACCAATTTCCCAGCATTATGGAAATGGTTTGTGTTTTGGGATTCACCTTATAATAACACGAATTATGACTATGAAATATAGAATAACCTAAAATTAAATGTAACTAGTGAAGATAACGAAAAAATTATAAATACTCGGAACCCCTGGATATTCCAGAGGTGGAATCAGGTGCCTAAAAGGAGTAAGCATCTCCCGTTGACCGGAAACACCCAACTTATGTGGCAATATGTCCTTATCACCCGCATACGGGGTTTAAATCTCTCATTTGATTAGATACGCAAGAGCAAGCTCTACGTACGAAGAATTTCTAAAACAATGTAAGTTATTGACAAACAAGAATATCAAAAGTATCGTTTAAAGTCATCATTTCACAAGTTCTATGGTCGATACAATGACTTTGTCGGTACATACAATCTATGACTAAGTCAAATACTCACTGACGTTTTTCATACTTATTCTTAGACCATTATTTTACACTGAAATATCGACAGATTTTTCTGTTATTTCCTGATCTGGACACAGAGCGCAAGGCGGTTGTAACCGGTAGGCAGGGGATGCTCATTACGACATGGCGCCTGATACAACCTCTGATATTTTAGAGGTCCCTATTTGCTCTGCTCCTGCTTTGTATTGTTTAAAGAGACTTTTCAGCTTGAATACTGCTTTTATCTCCATATATAAAATATGGGGGTCCGTGTGTATGTTTCAAATATATTATATTGATACCCTAATATCATTATAGGCATTTTAATATTTGTAAAAAGAAAATATAAAAATCTAAAGAAATAGAGAAATTCATTAAGACGGATTTTTTTTTTCAAAACAACTTCCAACTTAAATCAATAAACAAAGTTGTATCCAAACACATATATTACACTGTGTAATCTGATTGTCCTTGTAGAATTGGTTGACATCTGTTCTCTATAAATTGGTTTCAGGTCTTTTTTTTTTCTTTTTCCTTTGAGCACTAGTTTACCATAACAATTTTAGTTTGTGAGTGTAAATGATAGATATGTTTAATCAAATACTTCATCATTTATTTAATTCCTCTGACAAAAGTTAAGTTGCAGCTTTAGGGATAATTAGAGAGTTATTTTCGGAGAATGATGAACGGTTGATGTTATGTCTGAGAAATTATGAAATCAAACCGAACCCAAAAAGGTTGCTTTTTATGGCTTTTCAAACCGATTATTTATGACTATGCATAGGTTGTCTTTCAAAAAACGACATAATCCATTTTTATATCTAAAAGGTAGTGATATTTTACATATTCTTAATCTTTTTTTATGGCTTATTGATAAGCAATGAAAAAGTGAATCTAAAATACATTGAAATATATTGTGTCTTCAAGGGATGTTATGTATCTAAAGAGTTTGTTACATATCATCTGCAATCCTGTATCATTGATTCAATAGAAAACAGAACTTACGAGATAATCACAAAACGATCAATTAGAACAAAACAAAGAGGTATTTAAAGGAATGAGCAGTCATTACTAAAGATATAAAATAATAATTTAACCCTTTGATTGCGTTTCATTCATTCAATTATTTTTTTTTTTTTCATTTCTCTATCTAATTTTCATATATTTGGTTGGACACACTTTTTTTTTTTATTTTTTAAAATTAATATTTTTTTTATAACTTCACACAGCATGTGAGAGTGTAATTCTTTTTTTTCCATTAATTCTTCTGTACAATGAATTAGTTACTATAGCTACAATATAGCTTTTTTTAAATAAACCTTTAACTATTAATAAAGATAATTTACTTAAGCAGCAAAATATATCACTAAGTGTGAATATTGATTAATTGTTGCTTTAACTATAAAATTGTCATGGTTTTCAAAAAAAAAAAAAAAAAAAAAAAAAAATATTCGTAGGTTTTTGTTTCCATGGTTTATAAAGTTTTAATTCTTATTTATACCAAAATTTACATTTGGCAGAGGACATATATAATGAATATTAAATCATTCCATATCATGAAAAAGTACAACCCCACCAACTCAAAGAAAAGATTTTATCAGAATATTGTCAGGCATATAAATAAAATGATGTTTGTGTAAATTAAAAGAAAACTTTTAAAACAAAACAAAACAAAACAAAACAAAAACAAAAACAAAAAAAACAAAAAAAAAAAAAAAAAAAAATCAGAACAAAAAGTGAGTATTAAAATTTGAATGTCTTTTTATCTGTTATATTCTTTTTGAAATAAGTAAAAATAATAAAAAGCCATCCATCAAAAATAAAAGAACAAACATAAATCTTTGAACAAGGCATGGAACATGTACTCCCTAAAATTTTAGAGGTGGAATCGGGTGCCTTTGGAGAAGTAAGCACCCCTGTTGACCGTTTACACCTACCCTGAAAACTACAGTCTATATATTGATCAGAATGATTCAGTTATCCACAGTCAAATATAAATAAAACATAGCCTAAATGTAGATATGTAATATGTCAGTAAAAATCCAAACCACTGATAGGTTATTTTTGCTAAAAAAGTTATAACAACCAAAGTCCATCCGCAAGGGGTGGCGTCTCCATATGAGTGAAAAAATTCTCGAGAGGGACGTCAAATAAAAACAAACAAACAACACAGATCGTGCTTACATGCTTAAAAACATAAACACCTATTTTATTTCTCTTTATTGATGTCAATGTGCACATTGCATGTTGTTCTTTGTTTCATCCACCATACGGCTTTCTAAAGTGACAACCACATCTTCTTGGCCTACTCCGCGGACAGAAGATTGAGCGTCGACAGGATCCTGTCAGGTACCCCCGGCTCCTACAGTACCTGTAACAGTCTCTGTGCCTACATCTTCTCACACATCCACCCTGACTAACGACTGGGTCAACAATTACCAGGGACAGAAGGCACAGAAGGAGAAGTAAGGCGACTGTCTTCATCTAAAACAAACATAAGATTTTTTTTTTTCATTTTAAACCTTAAGCTTAAAAAGAAAATAAATATATCTTTTGAGGGTTATAGATTTTTTTATCTTATTTATTTTTTCTTCTGCTTAATATGATAAGGTACTAAATTTATAATTTTCTGGTTGACTGCTTTTCACTAATGTTTATTATGTATACCATTTTTTTTTCAAAATATCATGCAAACAGTGAATATAATGTTAATTTATAAAGTTTATTAAAGAAAATAAATTGCTTCGATTTATCAATTCCGAATCAGTTGTATACATTTTGATAAAAGTTTTTATGTAAAAAAAAAACTAAAAAAAAAAAAACAGCTTAATGAAATCAGTTTTAAAAAAAGATACCCCAATCAGGGTTATCATCTGTTCGAAATGATAAATCGACACCTGTTTTATATATATATATATTTTTTTTCTATGTGCTTAAAACATTCAGCATCTTGTTTATGTGCAGAACAAAATAAGAGGAGTAAAGTTAAGATAGACATAGCAGACTAAAGTAGTGGAATATTTTTTGATAATAGATACGCCATAATTATAAATAGATGTATCATCTAGATTGATATAATTATCCTACCTCATCCTTTGTCCATCGGGACCAGAAACCGTTCACAGTAGCTCAGTCGGTAGAGCGCTCGCTCCGTGATCTGGAGGTCGTGAGTTCGAATCTCGGCCGCGACTGACCTAAGTCGATAAAAAATGGGTAGCAACTGTTGCTCCGCCATGCGCTCGGCACTTTGAAATGAAAGTTGCGGGTCCTTCGGATGAGACCTTAAAAACCGAGGCCCCATGTCACGACAGGTGTTGGCACGATAAAGATCCCTCACTGCTCAATGGCCCTAAGTGCCGAGTAAAGGTCAAACTTTGAAGCATTTTACCGGTATATGGTGATGTCTCTATATGAGTGAAAAATTCTCGAATGGGACGTAAAACAACAATCAATCAATCGGGTCCAGAAAATGTATGTTAATACTCAGTTATGCACTAATGTACAATACAATACTCGCTCGCGTGGCGCAGTGTTTAGAGAGTCTGCTCTAGAGTCGCGAAGAAAGGAGCTGATCCTTCCGTCTCGGTTTCGAATCTACTGCGGTTCGTGGAGACCGGTCCTTCGGATGAGACCTTATACCGTAAACCAACTTTTATTCGTGTGTGAGATATATTCGCGAGTTTCGCTACCTACTTTAGCTTGCAAATATTAATCGCCGCAAACCAACAAAACAAACAAAACAGTACAATACAGTCGCCCGCGTGGCACAGTAGTATGAATGTTTGTTTTAGACTCGCAGAGTAAGAAGTTGATCTTTACGTCAAGGGTTCAAATCCTAATACAGGACTTCGAGAAGGGACCTTCAGATGAGACCTTATAAACTGAGGTCCCACGTCACAGGACTTCTTGATATAAAAAAAAAGACCCCTCACTGTTCTATGGCCGTAAGTACCGTGTGTATGTCTAAATTTGCAGCCTTTTACGGAGAAGTGGTGGCGTCTCGTTATAAGTAAGCAGTTCTCAAAATGGACGTTTAACAAGTAAACAAGCAAGCAAGCGTACAATACAAACGCTATATAACCTTTGTTAGTTTTCCAAGTTCAGAAAAATACAAATACTATAAACAAAGCACAGATTAAAACTAAAGCATATTCACAGTAAATTTTAGAGGAATCAGCTGATGAAAATGAGAGTTAGCCATCAGTTCAGGTTTCTTACCTTTACGTGTTTCTAATCTGAGGAATAATATCCTTATAGTAAACTTTTGTAACTTTGACAAACCCCGAGGCCTATATATATAATTTGCGCGTAAACGTTTCATTGGCTGACATAACCAATGGAAAAATTACGTAAAATCGAATTAAAAAAAACGACGCCATATCAGTCTGCCTGAAGCAAATACAATGAGTGAAAACACGCACATGTGCACAGTTATGTAAAGGATGTTTGTTTTCATATTTATATTATTGGAAAGTCTTTCATTCTGAAGTTCTGCCTTTTTAAACGTGACTGATTAGAATATTTTGTCATGAACTTGGAAAAAAAACAACCAAACAAATAAGAATTAACGTCCACAAATGTTAACTATCACGTTCTGCTTAATTTAGTTTAAATATATCCGATTATTTTAAGTTAAAAACTTTAAAAAAAGATATCTTTATAAAGCATATATAAATAACATTCTTAGGTATATTTGATACACACATAATTCTGACCAATTGCCCCAACTAACTAATCTTATATCATTAATTTAAATGTATTCCTGTATTAAATCTTCATCATTGTATTCTGTTCAATAAAGGTGTTTGTCAGTGATGACCTTCCCTAAATCAATATACTGATTCCACCCAGCTGTTGTTTGTAGGTTAGTGTTTTACAAACAAGTTCACCGTTAATCTGAAACAAAAAGTAATTAGCAAAAAGATCGATGACTTGTTTTTCCAATTAAATTCCATTCCCACTAATTTATTCTATATTAAACTTGTGGCTTGAATGGAGATTTTGAGTTGAAGCAATCTTCTATAACATTTTCAAGTTTAATTCTGAATTCTCACTCAATGAAATATTCTCCTTACATTTTAAACTTTACATTTAATAATGTAACTTATTTACATATAAAATAATAATAAAACAACACTTAAATATCTAATAAGGTGGATTGATGTCCATATGAGAATAATTTACAAACTGAATATCTAATAAGGTGGATTGATGTCCATATGAGAATAATTTACAAAATGAATGCACTATAAAATACATGCACTGTAAATATTTCAAACATAAGAACATTCTTATATGAATATTTTTATTTAAACAATGATTTGTTCACAAAAGTTAACGGAGCTACATGGATAGCAACCAAAATCCCTCTCCCTACATAAAGATCAAACTACATACAAATAGCATTTTTATAATTTCTGCATTGCTCCTGATTTGCACTTATAAATATTGATAAAAAAGTATATTATAAGATTTGGTAAAGAGAGGGGATTTGATCGGTCGATCGGGACTTTGGAAAATAACTTATTAAAGAAAATTCGAAAATACTGCAAGAACCTAAATTCAGTTTTTTTCTTAATTATTTCTTCCAATGGAAGCACATTGCCGGGACCACAAAGTCCCAAAACTCTTTTTAATCAAGTAAATTTCTGTGCCATAGGTGACGAAGTGTACTGGACTTATAGTAAGAGCAGTGTAGGGCAATATCAGAACAACTAAAAATAGCTACAATGTTTCAACATTAGTGAAAATTTTAATTGATCATAGAGAAAATTCAGGTCATGTTACTCTCATGGATAATAGGGGGAGAAAGTATAATTACTGGTTGCAATATCTGCAGCTTTCAACTGAATTTTGAAATTCTTTCCAAAAATGCAACATGCATCATCAGTTTTCTGACTAAACCATATACGTGGTACACCACAATTAAGCTAATTAAACCTGATATTTTATCGTGTTTTACATCTATCAAGTGTCCTGTCATTGCGACGACACATGTTTTATTTCATAATTAGGCCCGAAAATATTCACTCGGAATGAAAATAAAAAATATAGTGGTAAAGCACGAGACTTGGCCAAAATTCATGCCTCAAAGAATGAACACATTATCTGAAGACTGGATGTAAAATTCTTGTTCTTCTCCTTTGTGTTCAAGGAAACATATAGATATAAAGATATACTTCAAGGTCATTAAATTGTAAAACTCAGTGTATCTAAGGACTATCTAAGAATAGAAAAAAATAATTTATATGTGTAATTAATCACTGCAACATTAAGTGTTATTTTGATATGCACCATGCTTTTGTATAAAGTACATCCGTGCAATAAGTTCTGTTGAAGGTGTAACAGTTCTTAAAAAGAAAGTAGCCTTCCCAAAAATCTTATTTTTAGTAACCATGGCAACATAGTTCATTGAAATATTAAAAAAGAACCAAAGAATTTTGTATTATAGTGTACTCCACTTGTTTACCAAATTTTCTTAAAATCAGGCGAAAACTGTAGGAGGGTAAGCAATTTGAAACATTTTTATACGGACAAACAGAAAGGCGGAAAGTCATATTTACGGATAAGGAACACTGTGTTATTTCATAAACTCTTTCGATCAAACAGAACCAAAAGATAGAGCTAAAAACTGCATTGTGTAATTCACAGCATGCTTTGCTTTAATAGCGTCAGTATTTCTTCTGTAATGGAAAATATTATCTCCCAATTTGTTTGTATTTCTGGGAAGAAAAGAAGGGAAAATGCAGATTTTTTTTTCCATAATGTCTCTCATTTGTTGCCATGGCAGCCATGATTTTAATTAACTCTACATCAGTGAAAACTTTTAGGTTTAACCTCTCGGGAATTATTGAGTTTGCTTAATGTAAAAGTAATAAGAAACTGTTATAACTTCTATTTCAATCACTAAAGTATCTTTTGCAGAATGAAATGCAAAATTTCTGGCAGCTAAAGAGTAACGCAACTATGATAAGGGCCCATTGCATTGTTTGGCTTGCACAACTCTATTTCTATTATCTTCTTAGACTCTCAAGGACGTTACGCATGAATTAAAAGAATCAACTTATTTTTTTCACTCTTCCCGTTAACCGATTGCTATCATGTATTGATGAAAATATACGATCACATTTTATTATTTGAAACTGCTAATGAGTTTTTTTTTTAATTCACAAGTTTAGACACCTTGACCAAATCAAATAAAGTTTGCAAATATACTGAGAAAAGTTAGTTTGTATGACCTAACAGAATTTCTTCTGTCCTTAGATTGACACTCATGGTATATAGTTTACTTTTTACGGATTATTTTTAAATCTGGGTTAAACAATTAAAAACCTTTTTTACTTTACTTTTAATTCTAGATTTCATAAGCTTTCTAAAGTGTGTGTGAATGGGGGGGGGGGTGGAATTCCAAAGTTCACTGGTCTTATATATTAGAAACTACCCTTCATATTTTACACTCAATTAAACTAGATTTCCATTAATTGTCTTAAATTATCATTTTAGGTTTTCTTCATTTTTCAAAAAAAAAAAAAATAAATAAATAAATAAAATAAATAAATAAATAAATAAAAAAATAAATAAAAATAATACCATTTATGTATTAAACTTAATAAAAGACTTTGAAAAGCTTTGGTGATAGCTTTATGATAAACGTGATGACTTCAACTTTTCAATCGTCAACTTCCCTTACTTATGTAGCAATATACCCTTTTCACCTGCATATGGGATTTATGTCTCTCAGTTGATTCGATACGCAAGAGCATGCTCTTCGTATGAACAATTTCTAAAACGAGGCAAGTTATTGACAAAAAAATCGACGAAACAAAAATATCAACAGTCTCGTTTGAAGTCATCTTTTCGCAAGTTTTCGGTCGATACAATGACTTTCTCAGCACATACAACCTATCATTGAGTCAAATGCTGACTGACGTTTTTCATACTTATTGTTAGGTCATTATTTATACACTGAACTGTCTACGGATTTTTCCAATTTTTGTTTCCCGATCATGACAAGGAGCACACGGCGGGTGTGACCGGTCGGCAGGGATTGCTTACTCCTCCATGGCACCTGATCTCACCTCTAATTTTTGAGGTCCGTATCAGCTCTGCTCCAAATTTATATCGTTTCATAAGACATTTTGAGATTGAATACTGTTCATTATCTTCATATTTCATTTTAACCACCGAACATGTATGCTATTGGACAGGCTGTCCCCGAGAATACTTCTTGTTCGGTACTTATTCATTCATGAGTAGTACAAAGTATAATGATACTCGCAGACGCGTCGCCCAGTATAAAAATGTGTCACTCTTTTGAGTCTATTAAGGACACAGACTCAACGGGTTCAGTTGATGTCCCCCGGATAATCCTCAGGGATATTAAAATTTTGAACTATATACAATCTTCGGACTCCCAGTTTTGGTATAAAAACAACAGTTCGTACACAAACTTGAAGGAATCTAAAGTTTCTCTTAATGATAAATTTGATGATTCCTTTTCTGATCCATTGGCATCTTTTCCAAATGTTCTGCTAAAAACTGTAAAATATGTGATGTTTTGATTACAAACTGTTCTTTTAAAAGCAATTTGACAGGGCATAGATTTTATACCATGACTTTGGAAAATCTTAACTGCAAATCTGCAGATGTTGTCTACGGAATAGAATGTAACCTTTGTGGGCTTTTTTATGTTGGTGAAACCAAGGGTTCACTTCATAAAAGAATATCGGGTCACAGATTTCAAATAAACAACGGGGGCCAGCAGCTTCTCTACAAGCACTTTAATTTACCTGATCATTCTATTTTATCAATGAAACTTAGAATTCTAGAAAAGATTTAACATTATACTAATAGTCCATCACCTTTCCGTAGACAACGAGAAGAATATTGGATTAGGAAACTAGACACAGCCTTTTCATATGGTAGCGATGACAATGTCGATAGTGTTGGGAATCTTTCAAGTCCACAGTGTAGCAATGTGAATGTGATGGGACTTTTTAACAATACTCAGAGAAGTAAGCGTAGTCATGGACATCGGCCGTACAATAAATCTATTATACACAATGTTTCTCTTGATTCACTACTACGTTATGTAAATAAACAGTTAGGTCTCCATCACATTCGCACCAAACTTTACTCTGTCCCTTTGAAAGTTCTATATGGTTTATTTGAAAAGGTCAAGGAAAGTCCATATTTGTATTCTTCGACACCAGAATACAGGCTTGGATCTATAATTATGGATATTGCAAATCATGGG